CGGATAAGAAATACTATCTCATTCAGATATTTGAGCAAATTAGTGTAAGTCAAACAAAATCGAACACTACAGTGGAATACTAGTCGAGATAGATTTTACAGTGTGACAACATATTGTTTAAATCAAAGTATACTCGATGTTTGTTACATACACATACACACACACAAATCAACCAACGATCACTACATTGTTAGAAGTTTCAACGCTATTCTGATCAAAATAACAAACAATTGAAGTATCCAGAAATAATAGATACAACCTTCCATCAATATACAGATACGAATCATTTGAATAAGAGTGAGAGAGAGGAGATCAGTCAGCTACAACGTAGGACTAGGCACATATATGCATCGGTCCAAGTGGCTATACCTCATTAGCACAGCAAGATGAACGCCGGATTCATAGAAGTAGTTAATTCAAGAAAGAGAGAGGAGGAGGAGGAGAGAAAGAATGAGAAAAAGAGAATAAGATGATATACTCTAAATTTCGGTAACACCAGCAGTGCACACACACACACAGAGAGAGAGAGAGAGAGAAAAACAATCAAGTTGTGAATTAGTCAAGCAACAAAAAACAAGTTGTTATTATTATCACTGTATTAAGAATATGATCAAACTAGTTAAATTCATGGTTAGAATGTGAAATATTAAATTACCATCTGTCATCTATTTGAAATCTGGAGAATAATGTATCTGGAAAAAGTTGAAGAATTTTTTTTTTCAAAGAAAAAAACAAACATTCTATGTAAACATTAAATCATGAAATGTGTGATAGAGACAAGTTTATAGGACTATATAGAATATTATTCAATGAATAGATAGTTGGACATATTCTTTAATTTCAATTGGTTGAAATTATGAGTCAATTGAAGTTAGACTATTATGGAAAATTTGGAAGTACTGCAAGATCGTTTCGTCCTATTTGTGGGACTTCTCATTCATTGTAAAATTAGATGCCAATGAATTTTGATTTGTTCAAAATGATAATAAACAATATTGTAATTAAACTATACGCCATATTAGAGAATACAATACAATCAAAATTAACCAATAATCAGAAGTATTTTGTGTACATTAAAACTTCAGTTGTTTATTAATGTAAAATGATATATCATTTAGAATCGATTATAAATACAACAAAACATTTACTCATTATTTTAGTGTAGATTTTGAATAACAGTATCAAACGTAATAGGAGAGATTACACATTGAAAATACAATTCGACAAATGTAAATGTAAATTACTAAGATAAAAACAGGAAGAAAATCCGAGGCAAGACAATAAAATGGATGCATCTGTGTCATTCTAAATGAGTTTTAGCAATTTCATTCAAAGTCTCTAACCATAGGTTACGATCATCACCCTGACCACAACCACGTAAGTATACACCTATTAACATGGTTAAGTCTAAATGTCAGTGACTTCATGCACTGATGCCATGTTTTGGTTTGACTGACCCTAGTGTTCTTTGAGTCTAGTCCTACACCAGAAAACGTCTGTTATGGTAGGTGGTGGTTGGGAATAAGTAGCACATGTCTCAACCACTTCAGTTGATCAAAGTTGGACATGAAGCAACTGTATTCGACATCTGATGAAGTGTAGCTGTCACCAAATAAATGTTAAGTGATTATGATTTAAATCCTTACATTGATGATATGTACTACATCTGATTAGTCTCACTGTTCTGTTCGCCACTATTCAATATTGGATATGATATTATTGTTTTCAATACACAAATTAAACAAGAGTATACACATATGTAAACAGTAGGACAACTGTGTAGTTTAGAATTTTTGTAATTGATAACTTGGTAGTTGAACTTTCAACTGGAAATTATCATTAACGTCATATATGCAAGAAATTGATATGACATTATGTTTTAACAGTGTTGAATAAAGGTAGATCTGGTTATTGATGAAAGATATAAGAAATGATTATTTTTAATAAGATGAACATCATTTGATCATTTGATTGTAGACATGTTATTTATCGTTCCACTTTTCAATTGATGCACAGATTGAATTTGCAAACAATAACCTTAACTTATTAGTCTGTAACCTGAATGTAAAGCTTCTAAAAAATTTCCAGTTAAAAACATGCCTCTGTATATGATAATGATGGCAATGTTAAGAGATAGTTGTATCCAAAGGAATCCCTAGCTTAAATGTCCATTCGTTCCAGTTTCCACACAACATCAATACAGAGAGATTAAATTTATTAAGGTTAATAGCTAAGGAATTGATGTACAAGGAAAAGAGATACAGGAATTAAATGTGTGAACTTTTTTAAAGGGTCGGATCCTATTAGAGAAAAATGACAATCAATGCTTTTGTGTCAATATAACGAAGTCCAAGGATGTTACTCAACATCTCCAATCACTTCCATTTTTTCATCTGGCCATATCTAGATCTTATCCAAAGTACTCCAACGATAACATACATAGCGCATTCAGGAGTGTCATTGCAACTGAACATACTCAATTACTGGCCACAGGAATATGAGTTGAAACATGGGTTAGAATACATTTAAATGAAGTAAATCTAAGTATACAAAGACAGGTTGAAGGTAAACAATAGTCAATCACAATCGAGGTCTACAGGACAAACTGTAAGTCATATGTGAAGAAATTCTAACACTTCACTTTTACCTAAGGTTTGTGCTGGTGATGTTGTTCAGAAGAACAATGAAAGCGACACGACCAAATAATTTAGCTCAGAGAACAAAACACCTAAATGTATACACTACCATTTAAGTTATATATTGCATTTATTCCACAATGTTCCGATTTCGTACTTTATATCATGCTTCATATTTATTTATTTTGATTACTTGGTTAAATGTGATGTAGTTTACAGTTGAGTTAGACTTTCTTGTACAAGACATTGATATCATGTCCTAAGTGAAATAGGACATTCATTTTGACTTCTTTAATTCACTCTATTCTCTAAGTAGCCAAGGTTATCTTGTCTTATTGCTATATCTGGACATTTCTAACCCCTTCGACATGGTTAGCCACCAACTTCCTATAAGTAAACTCGCATCTTATGGGACTCAAAATCCTTTGCTAGCTTGGTTCGATTGCTATCTCAGCAATCGACATCAAATAGTTAAAATTAACTCTTCATTGTCTAAAGCTGTCCCTGTTAGAAGTGGTGTAATAGAAAGTAGTGTCTTAGGCCCTTTGCTCTTTTTAGTGTTTATCAATGATATTTGTGAAAGTTTTTGTGTGGGTAAGCCACTTCTACATACAGATGATCTTAAAGTAGTATATTCATTTTCTACACATGAGCTAAAAAATGGGCAAAATTGCATGAGCGTGGAGCTTAACAAGGTAGCACAGTGGTGCTTTAAATGGCAACCGGAGCTTAACACGGCTAAATGTGGATGGATATGCTTCGGCGATACATCACTCAGCTTAGATTTTACCATAAATGGTGAAGTGTTGTCTAGGTTACATACAGTAGTAGACTTAGGTACTACCACGACTTGTCGTTTACAGAACAGATATTGAAACAGACGTCTAAGTTTAAACGTCTTGAAGGTTACATAACTCGAAACCTTTATGACAATGAGTCACGTACTTTAATGTACAAAATTTGTGTTCGACCACTTCTACAATATTGCACGTTTATTCTTAGTAGTGCGCGCATAAAGGATAAATTAAGGCTGGAATCAGTACAGAGACGATTTGCACTTCGTATTCTTGGAGCTGAATTTACCTTAACCTATAATTCTAGATGTAATAAACTTGGGCTCGAATCTTTATGGAAGACGAGACTCAAACTAAATCTAATCTTTTTCTTCAAACTACTTAATAAACTATCGTTTACATCCAATCACGTGATTCAATATGCAGAAACTTCTCATTATGACATCCGTAATTCCTTGGCACTAGTGAAACAAACTTATTCTAAATCATCTCTTTATATGAATTACTTTACCTGTAAATTTTCTAGACTCCGGAATAAGCTACCACAATCTATTCGTACTACAAAATCACTCCCATTATTTGTTCCTCTGAAAATGCATTAAATGTTCTAGCACCTGTAATTGTATCTCATTCCACAAGTGATATTATAGGAACTTTAAATGTTTAGCCAATGTTATTAGTGAATTCCCTAAGTAAAACCACTTAACTGCTATCACTTTACGTTAAAACAGTCTCTGGCAACCTTAACTAATTTGAGTAGTATATCACTGTGTTACATCACACATGCATTTTGGTAGATCTGATTGACATATTTTGGTAATTACTGTTTTATTGTTCCATGTTCTTTGTTTTCTATTTTACTTTCTCTAGTTGTAGATAATTATCATTAATTCGATCTAGCACAGGAAATTGACCTTAATTACACCGTTCATAAAACAACAGGCTGTTCATTTAAAAATTAAAAGTTCCCGGCTGATACATTGGATCGCTGTAATACATGTCCTAAGCAAACAATTACTGAACTAGTATACTTAAAATGTATCTTCTATCACATGTTTGTTCTCTACATCTAATGTTACTATGCATATCAAATTGATCATACCTGTAAACTGGCATGAATTCTGTAATGATTATTTTCAGAATATATGTATGATTATTATTATTATTAAATGTATTTGGTTTATTGGGAACAGACAACTGAGCATTAATATAATGAGTCAATCATGGGCAATATAAAATCCCAAACGTATCAATATGGTTTAGGTTAATCGTTAATGTATTAATAGACTAATTTTTAAGCTTTAGGTTTGATTTCACTCTTGTATACGGTTGTTTAGCTATTCATAATAAATGTCCCGTTGTGGATCAATAAAAGATGCTTAGTTTATCACATACCAATGAATAGATCATTATTAAACAAGTGAATCATTATCGTAAAGATATCATAACAATAGTGGTCAATTGAAGAAAGAAGTTGGATAATTCATATCACTTAATGATCTTTTTAAAAAATCAATAAAAAAGAAGAGTCAATTGATCTAATTATAAAACAAATTATGTTTTTACTTACCGTTACAGTAGCTAGAAGACCTTCTGGTACATTAGCTACAATAATACCAATTAAGAAGATTACAGCTTCAAGCCAATGATAGCCCAAAATGAATGCAATAACAAAAAATGAAACACCAAGAAATACAGCAACACTTGTAATAAGATGAATAAAATGATTAATTTCTTTATTAATTGGTGTTTGACCAATTTGTAAACCTGAAGCTAAATTTGCTATACGACCCATAACAGTACGATCACCAGTACTAACAACTATACCACGACATGTACCTAAATATGAAATAAAATGTAAGAAAAAAGCAATGAACAGAAATAAATTATTTACATTTTAAATATGATTTTGGATATATTTATCAGTAAAATTATAAAAGCAGACAAACAATTGAACTTACCGGTGGTAATCCCCCCCCAAATTCCCCGGTACGGTTGAAGGTGGGGAGAGTCTGCTCTCTCTCTCTCTTTAAATGCTTTCGCATGGCGACGTGCATACAATTATTGACAGTGAAGTCCCACTCAATTTCTTTTAGCGATGGGGGTATTTATGAAATTGAAAGGACGAAAATCGGATGTCTGGATGATTAACCCGGTTGGTAGATATGGAGGATCCACCTAGAGGAGTTGGAAAACCCTAATCACAAACCAATGGTGCTCACGGGCTACCAGGATCCTAAGGGAACAAATGACACATGAACCTATTGTTGGATAACAGTTATCATGAGATCGCAGCTTCTAACATTGCTTCACTGCCTTGTGGATTAGACCTCTAGGTCGAACGTTTGGGGAGTGGCCCCCTAAGAAAACCACCTGCTTTGGTTTGAGCATTTGGACAGTATTCCAGCCCTCACACAAATCGAATGACGAAATGTGGCGCATATCTATTTGATGCCTCCTTGTACCAATGTTTATGTGATTAAGTAAATAATTAAATAAAAACCGGTGGTACTTAATAACATTGAAGCCAACGTGATCACAAAAAGAAGAGAGAGAAAAATATAAGCCATGAAGTTATTGAGGTGGACAGAATTCGTGTCATACGACTCTAGTAATGTTAATAAATAAACCGATTATGTAACAGTAGTTCCATTTCTCTTAACTAGCATTTTTTCCGTATATATGTGAAAGATAACTATGACAAGTTTATTCTTAATAAGGTCCAAATTGAATATTACTCAAGTATAATGATTCTGACATTATGTATTGCTCGATAGTGTAGTAGGTGAACCACTCAGTTTCAGACCATTAAAATTTTATCTTTACATGTAGTCACTTTATTTGCCTTGGTTTTTAAAGCTGGGTAATACCACTCCCTCCAATACAGTGTATAAAACTATACGTAGCAGGTTAAGCTATCATAATCGAAGTAATACCCTAAAAAGTGACTGGGGATTCGACTTTCTGTCAGGTTTAAACTCCTCCGACTTGAGGAACTATGTTTCATACTTATATTATTCTAAGTACACAAATAAGTACATGGTAGGTGGGGTATGTGTGACACCAAGTTACCACATAAACTAATATCACTAAACTAGGAGGACACAATTATGGGGATTATTCAATATAGAAATAGTTAACACCACGAAAAACCTGTTTCAGTTGGACGAATATTGATATGCCTGCTAAATGAACACTTGACACGATTTTTAGAAACTTCAAATAACTTCAGGCTAAATCTGTACGTCAACTTAAACGCAAGAAAGAACGACAGGAGTGCGATAATAACGCTTTACTAGAAAATTAGTATTATGTATAGAAAAATGAAGGTATTTACAGTTACACATAACCTTCGGCTTCTGAAAGTTTCTCTAATCATACTAAGTGTTGTAGCAGTATAGGTAAGTATCTAAACAGAATCAAGACTCCCCACTTTCTGGATGCTTTCGAGAAATTTATATTCAACATTGAATGAAGTTTTCTGAGCCTTTATGGACTTTTCCAGGGAGTACTTTGGAACTTCCCAACAAATGTTAAAAAACCATGGTATATAGTAAAGGTGTGTTCATGCCGAATATAAAAATATTCTTTATCAAGGTGAATTTAAAACCCTGTAAGAAATTAAGTCCTCGAGCTTAAAGAACTATCAGCTAAGATCTTCCACCTTAGACTATCGAGTTATCTATCATATTCAATGGGCAACTTATTTACAACTTCATTCAATTCATGATTTCGTGTACTTAACATGTAGCATTAAGGTTGAACTTCACCGATCAGAGAAATTAAGAGAGTTCTCAGGGTTGGTCTGTTTTTTGCTTAATATATCCAGTCTCCTACATTCGTGATTCTATATTTATTATTTGCGGAACATTAACTAACCTAATTGTAATTTCACAGGGACACTAATTCCAACAAGTGTGCGTCCTCTTCGAATTACTGGCAGCTATAACTGGTTGGGCAGTGAGTAGTAGTTCTTTCAGCAAAACCCCATTAAATAGATCGGGTTATAATGTGGTTACTAATATCACAAGCACTACGTTTTAATGCTAAGTGGTTGAACATAGTCAGCAAAAAGCCCTGTTTGACTTACATTTCATTTTAGTCAGCATTCATCAGTAAGCTGTAAACCATAATATTGAGCGAATGGATTCGCCCTGTGGGATTTGAATCCGCGTTAGTCAAACTTCACAATCTGAGACCTTCCCTCACTAAGTTATTCGGCTTATAGTTACACTTTGATCATATATATATATATATGAAATCGAACATATTTTAGGGATTAATTACTCAATATTAGTTGGTTACAGTCTTTGATTCTACTAATAATTATTTTCAGAAGTGGTTTTATGGATATTATATTAATTTAATAGTTGGATTCATAAACCAAATGAAGTTAAACCATCATGGAAAACCTAGAATCACTGGACGGCCGTTTCGTTCTATTATCGGACTCCACAGTGGCAAAGCGCACCCGCGATCCGACCTCGCGAGATTCGAACCCAGAACCTATCGGTCTTGCGCGTGAGCGCTTAACCACCTCACCACTGAGCTTACCGGCATCCAATGGTATTAATATCTAGATTCAACTAATCCACAAAATTAAGCAAAACATTCACCATTTTCTTCAGTGAGTTACTATCTGACAACAGATCCGGTTGAACGTCAACTGATCATTGCTTCTCATTAGAACTTTAGGAAGTAACCTGTTGAAGTTAATCACACCCTAGTGATCATATATTGATTCATATCAGAAGGGAGGGGTATTTTGTAGATGGATATAATACTAAGTAATTTGTTGTTGTTGTTGTTTTTTTAATTAATTCACTAAAATAATTTTCTCTTTGTTTTTCTTGTTAATTTATTTACTCATAGTAATTCTAATAATATAGTTAATCTATTTAATATTATTAAGTTACTGAATAAATATTTTTACAAACAAAAAAAAAGAAAAGAAAAAGAAAAAGAAGAAAAAAAAGAGGTGTAATCCGAATTTCTAATCAACTTTGAAACAAGCAAACAATTCTTACAAAACAATAGAAATAAATAGATAAACGATGATTCCAAGAAGGATATAACAAGCATAGACGATTGATATATATATATATATATATATATATATATATATATATATATAAAAGAGAGAGAGAGAGAGAGATCTATGTAACTATAAGGGAATATGAGATCAAACTAATATAAGGATTAGAGTTGATGTTTGGCTGTCAGTTTCACAATCACAGATCAATAAATATATATATATATTACAACAAACAAATTCATGCCTCCAAGCAACTGGTTTAAAATGTAGGTCACAAAAATAGGATATAAAAAACTACGCCTAATCTCAACAATATACACATAAATATATATAAATATAGAGTTATATTATTCATAAGAGATTATAAAAGAAATTTAAATGAAATCCTCTAATGGTTTTAACTTTGAAATATAATTAGCATATGGATTGATCAGAAATTTTTTTAGTAAGCAACAATAAATTGAGATAGATGATGGTTAGCAGTGGAATCTAGGAAGCAAGTTTCATTCTATTTGAATGCTACTGGGTTGGAGTTCCGGAGTTAACATCAACTTCGGAATGCAAGTACATACAGATGACGAGTTCCAAATAGGACGAAACGTGCGACCTGTATTTCACAACTAACCATTATCCATCTCTGCTTATAATGCTTGTGACGTAAGACAATATCGAGGCAATCCGTAGAGGATGTACATACGCCAAAAATAGACTGGTCAATTTCAGTCCAAAATGTCAAACGGAAGATTCAAATGACCTATACAGAATGAACAATAAACTGAAGTTGTATTTTGCTCTGAAAATGAAATGAATGTCTACACTGGTTGGTAGTGATCAAGATTAATTGAACATGATTTCTACAGTGATTCATCTGAGAATTTGAATAGTGAAAAATCAAACTCACTATTATAGCCATAACAATTAGAGGAGTTCAAATTACTGGATCGAATGATGTATACATAGAATCAACAGTTTTTATAACTCAGTCACTTATAAATAAAGTGAGACTAGCCATATACATGCTTTGTTATCAACGCGGACCACAATTAGGTATTCTTAACTTACGTACATGGCTCAGTCTAAGAATTATTGACCCCATGCATTACTAAGATATCTTGGTTCGACCTCCTCTAGCTTCTTTTCAATTTAGCCCTACATCGATAATTATCGCGTGTCGGGGTTGGGGGTGGATGGGTATACGTAGTACATAACTTTATTATCTTAATCGATAAAGATTCACCAACCTGCCAATCGATTTTCCAAACCTACGCATTCGTCTGCGTCTAACCTCAGTATTGTTAATTTAATGGTCCCAAAATATGTCAGCAACGGTTAAAAGATACATACGATCGAATACTAGTAACCTACAAATATCCTCTATTTTTTAAAAGGCCATTTTTTACAACCATCAAGCAAGACGGAGCAAACGGCCGTGCTTTAAACGCATCTTTTAGTTAGCAGATGTATATTACGCTTACGCCGCGAGTGATGTATGTTGGCAAAGGCAACAAAGCTTGGTTAGACACCAACGCATCAAAGTAATGAGACAAGACATGTTTAACAACTTCACTACCTATCATTAGTTGATGCAGACCAGCATTAAAATTTCTGAGAAACTAAACGAATGTGAAATGTGGGATAATAATCAAACTCGGAATTTAAAGGAAGATGATGAATATCCCGGTATTTTACCTGTATTCCATATCACTATGAGCTAACAATGAACTAAATTATTGAAGGAAACAAAACTCATCTTTTCTGACAGATTCAAATATCTTTACAATGGGTCGTTTAAAGTTCGTATGAGGAGAGGTTAGAGTGAAGTGTTGACTTATGAGGTAATTACAGTGATAGCGACAATCTATAATGAATTGATTGAATGTGAAATTATCGACCGATGAATTGAATCTATGCAGTTTAGACATATTAACTTCATTCTAAAATCTGAAAATTGCGTGTTTAAGCGGTTCAACTTTTAACCAATAAGTCGTGAGTTCGATTCATCTCTATTTGCCTCGATTTAGTCAATCGAGTAGTATAAGTAGCCCTGATAATCCAGACAATGTATGGCTCGAAGTCAAGAAAATGAATCTATGTTGTGCCTGGGAAATCAATGAATCATATGTACGAAACACAAAAAATTAATGAGAGTATAATATATAACCGAGATAATGCACATATATGTATATAAACTACTCACCATCGACAGCGTTAGTTGAGAAGAAGGCTAAATTCTTTGTCTCCAATGGATTTTCATTTGTATATTCTGCTGTACGTGATTGTGGCTCGGATTCACCAGTCAATGCGGAATTATCCACCTGAAATGTGTGTTGGTTTTTTTAAAAATAGAAGGTAAGCTTTAAAATCTTGCCATAAATATAAAGTATGTAGGAATATAAGATAAATTAAATCGACAAGAGAACAGACAAGCATTTTGAATTACTACACTAATGTAATTCAACAATCTTCACAAACCTCCTAAAGTAATAGGGATAATATGCTCACTACTAAGTTTTAGACGCAATTCTAAGAATTCTAGTGAGAAGCTCTGACTGGTAATTTTTAACTATGTAGGGTGTGAGACAGTTATCCGCCACAATTAATGCAAAATAGTCCCACGATGGGGCGAATTGATCGAATTTAAACTTGTACACGACTGGACCACAACTCATCGGTCTAAAGGTTAAACGTCTGAGCGCGAGATCGAAGTTTCTGAGTGCCCTCCTCAGTGGTGGGTCGTAGATGCGCTGCATCATTGGAAGGTCCTTAATTCCAACCAGCGTATGGAGTTATGGGTAGGTGTGTTTATTGCTAAGTACGATTTATAAACAAAAATGAGATAACCTATGATCAATTCTACCTTGTTCTCCATGCGACTCTTCACCTGGTTTTAGTTAGGAGTGAAAAATGGCACAAAATATTTACGAAGTTATAATTCAGTTGTATCGTTTGGGTTATATCCATCTGAATTAGATTGCCTCAATATTTTCATCGGTTACAAAGATTTTGGAACAGAGATAGATAGTGCCAAGCAGTGGAACACGGGACGTGCGTTCCATCCTATTTAAGACTTGTCAGCTGAATGTATCTGAACCAAAGTTTTAATGTTCACTTTGGGACTCAATAACTAAGTGAATAATGTGTTGGACATTCGAAACGAAGGATACAATATTCAAATATCAGTGTGAACAACAACACTCAGATTCAGGCACATCAGTTAGTCAGTCAGTTACAACGAAGAACCTATACATATGTATATCGATTCAAATCGCTAACTCCATATTAGTACACAGAAATCAAGTTGTCAGGCCAAATTCAAAAATAGTACATGTAGTAACAGCATCGAACGTAATAGGAAAGATTAGATATTAAAAGTACAGTTCGAGAAGGAAATATAAATTAGTGAGATAAAAAGGGGGAAAAGTCATGAGTAATTTTGAATCTGAATTCGGGGAAGACACAAAATGGATGCATCTGTATCATTCCAAACTGTTCTTAGCAATGTTATTCAAAGTCTCTAACCACCGGTTGCGACCATCACGCTGATGACAACCAGTTAGTTTACACCTATAACATGGCTAAGTGACTTCACGAACTGATGCCATGTTTTGGTTTGACTGACCTTAAATTTCTTCAAGTGTGGTTCTACACCAGAAAACATCATCTATCATGGTAGGTGGTGGTTGGGTATGCGTGACATATGTTTCAACCACCTTAGTTGATGAAATTTTAGTACCTCAAGCGATTTACAGCTCTGAGTATTCTATTCTTAATCCATTGTAGATACCCACGATCGAATACCAGTAACCTTCGAATATCCTCTATTCTTAGTAGCCATGGTTCATATCCATAAAGCGCAGTAAACTCGCTCTTTGGTTGAAAGACGAATATCTCGCCTACGCCACAAATGATACAAACTGACAAAAGCCACTCAAGCCTTTTCAATTTGTGGCGAGATCTTGTGAGATATCAGATCAGGACTGATGAAACTCGCAAGATAAATGAAGCGATCAATGCATTCAACTTCTTCACACCCTATTACCAATGCAAATGATGACGTAAGCCAATCCTGAAGTAGCATTTCGTATTTAGGAGAGAACTGTGTTGTATGCTACTGATGTTGACAGTGGTATGTATCATCAATCGAAAGTGAAATACCTGGTGATAGAAGATTAAGAAGATTGAAGAAAAGAGAACAAGAACAAAGAATACTTGATGTGTAAACAAAAGAACAATAATTGATATTTTGCAAATGAATTATTTATTGTATGGTTCTCAGATTTTATTGAGAGATTCTGTAATGTTGTATTCAAATACATTCAATTGTACTCGCTGGTGTTCTTGTTCACTACAGAACTAAATCCTAAACATACTTGTATTGCTGGTTAAAATGATTAGAACACTAAATTTTGTCAACATCTTTCATCAAATAGAACTATAAGTAAATCATCAACTGATAAGTGTTAAACAAAACTTAATGCATTTCATTATTAGCCGTATTGAACCATCTCTGCTTAACTGAAATTATAAATTTTTTTTCCACTAAAACTTTTATGATAAGTGGAGAAAGTTCATTTTAATCCTAACTTATCAACAACAACAATAATGATAATAATAATAACCACCACCACCACGACAACAACAATAACCACCACCACCACCACCACCACGACAACAACAACAACAACAAAAATATATCTTAAAACTAGAATAAATTAAATTAGATAATACTCTATTATAAATTAACTGAATTCCTTTATATGATATGATCTTATAAATGAAACTGTATCAAATATCTATCTATCTATCTATCTATCTACATATATTTTTGTCAGTTCATTTCACTCTTGAAATTTTTTTCATGATACCCATTTATCAATAATTTAAACACTTGTTCTATTCCAATAATAATAATAATAATAATAATAATAATAATAATAATAATAATAATAGGTTATATATATATAAACGAGTTTATACGCATCAATCGTTATTCAATAGTGACGGTTTATACAACCGATTATTTACAAAATCGTCAATTTTGAGGACACATGAGAGTTAGTTAGTTAGTTAGTCAAGTTCAAAGGCGGAATGGAACGGAAGTGGAAAAATAGTAAATATATTCATGAAAATAATATATATTTTAATAAAATACTTTACTATGATTTTCATAAGGAAAGAATAAGGGTATGTGTAACATTGAGGGGGGTGGTGGTGGTGGTGGTAGTAGTAGTAATGGAAGGGTATTACATACAGCACATGATGTATATTCTTAATAAACAGTTCTTTAAGTAATAGTAATTGTGGTAGTAGTAGTAGTAGTATTAGTCGCTGTAAAAACGGTCTAAACGAGGTTGCTTGACCTAAAATACTAAATTACAATTAACAATAGTTATGAAGATATTATACACTTTTCATTTAAACCGTAATAACTAGATTAAAAACATTTAAACAATCTAATACATATTGTATGATTATTCATAGTTAGTTGATTCTTATGAAGATTAATTGAAATAAAGACTAATTTTCATCCATAGGCTGATAAAGTACCTAGAAAACTAATCCAAATGAATACTGTATTGGGAGATGGATGCAATGTTGAAGAATAATAGTACTAGTTAAATTAGTAATGTCCATAATGAAAGTCGTTTTCATGGTGAAACTATAATTTATGGACGATCTTTGAGCGACACTAAAGCGACCTTGAGAGTGTCTACCTGATAACCAATACCAAATGAGTGTTATAAACCTGTGTAAAGAATTAGATTTAAGGTTTTCATCATCAACTGACATCAGCTATAATTTCAAAACTCTATTTAGCCAAATAGATGAGTGAATTGAACATCAATATCTGAGACCTGTTATCTTATACCTTATTGGTTCGTACAGAAATTATAGTCTTGCCTTATTTTCAATTATAGACTGACATGAGGCTAAAGAATATACGAATTGTCCAGTTTATGATTCTTTGAAAAAAAGTACCTACATAACAATTTAATTTTGGGATTTTTTTACAAAATATAAAGATATGTATATATTTTAGTGACCTTATATCTGACTTCATTTAGATTGTATGATGATTGTTATCGGACTATATTACATGCCGCATTAGTGTATAACGTAAGAAGTCAAATACGAGAATGAAGTTCGAATACGTATATTTCATACATTCATTGATCTGAACAGAAAATCAGGGGAAAAAAATGACGCGCAGTGAAGGCGAGTGAATCAACTCCACAGAGCGTTACTTCGTTTCGTCTCACTTTAATTTGATTCTCTAATAATCACTAATGCAGCATGTATTCATCTCGATAACAATCATCATACGATCTAAATGGAGTCAGATATAGAGCAATTAAAATTTAAACACTATTAATCTTCAATCCACTTGGTATTCTTTACTTGAATCTTCCCATTAATGTTTAGGACAGAGATTAATCAGTCTCTTATTGGCATATGCACATACTGTGCATATGGCCTCGATATAGCCTTAATTCACAAGCACTATATGCAAAGATAGTATTGCACAAGCAAGTGGCTATTATGACTCAGTAGTTAAATGAATAACAAGATGGCATTTGAAGCGAACGGTACTGAGTTCGAGCCCCAGAGTGAACATCAACTCTGAGATTCAGGTATATCCGGCTGACAAATCCCAAATAGGATGAAACGGGCATCAAACTGGATCTCACTGCTAGCCACTATCCATCTTTGTATATAATACTATTAATCTTAATTTATTTAAATTAAATTTTGTTGTAAATGATAGCTTGAAAGTAGTTTCTAGAAAGAAATTCTTTGATTACTATACGAAGATGAAGTATGTAGACATATATATATATATATGGGAAAATTCAAAGAACTCTTAGAAATTCCAAATTCAGTCGATCGGTGTGAAGTACTTGAAATTCATTGTTTTGTTTCATTGCTATAGTATATATGTACGTGAATTTGTAATGCATCTTGCTTTCAAATGTACAATATATAGGTTTTCTATTTACTTAATAAGTGAATGTTACATAGAAAAACATAATTTAGTGAGACTACAGTTTATGGACGAACCAATCAGATTTAGGATAACTGATCTTGAATTGTGGTGCGAAATTCCCTCACCCATTTAGCTAAGTAGTGTTCTAGCATTTTACCTGCTCAGTTTGTGATGAAAATCAATAAATCTAATCACTAACCTTAAACAACAAATCTAAATCATAATTCTAATTCCTCACACTACTTTATAACCCTCATTTAGCCCTAGTAAATAGGTAGACAATTTCAAGATCACTTTGACGTCACCGAAAAGTTATCCATAAATTACAGTTCCATCAGATACCCTACAGTGTCATATTTTCATAGAAAACATATGTAAATAACTCGAGATGAATAGAATGAAGACCTCAGTGGAAATTGTAAACAAAAAAGCATATTCATTTTCATCTAATCTCTTCTTTCGATTTCAACAGTGAATTAGTATCACTTAACTTCACAGACACACACACACACACAAACAGAATAAGTCAACTGATCCGCTTAATTCAAGATTTTTATATTATTGAATAAATTATGAAACAGTTATAAGACAAAGTAAACTGAATAATTGTGAAATATAAAACATGAAAAATAGTAGCTAAGGCCTTTTTTTATTTATATATATACATGTGTCCTAGTTTATTGTCTATTATTCCAACTTATTTCAATATGAATCAAGTAACAACTACTATATACAGTCAATATATATATATATACTTACATGTATCATTTAAATATTCAAAGAGTTATTCTACTCGAGTCTTTGATTTAGGCCATAGCAACAATAATGACATAAGAAATAGAGATCATGTAACCTGTACTTTTTTTACATCTGTTACAATGTCCTTATCAGTTTAACAGTTCACATGTTGATATTCTATTGAAATGTATCTATTGAAAATAGACTTGTTAAAACTTTAATTTTTTTTCAGACTATATCTTATTATTATTTGAACACATAGATATTGGTACAAGGAGGCAACAAATACATATGCGCCACACAAATCTCACTTGATTTGTGTGAGGGCTGTGATACTGGCCGGGTGCCCAAACCGATGCAGGTGGTTTTCTTAGGGGGTCACAACTCGAGACTTCGACTTAAAGGTCTGATCCAGTCAGTCAGTCAGTCAGCAACAACGTGGAACTTCGTACGTACATACATCAGTTCGAGTTGCCATACCACATTAGCACAGAGATTCAGTTATCGATTCAAATCCCATAGTGATAGAGGTAGTGAAAGTATAAGTAGTGACAGGGAACATCAAGGTTTGATGATGGTATTAAAGGAGTATAGTTCAGTGGAATAAATTGGGAAAGAAAATAAAGGACATGAAGAATTCAGAAGATTAGAATTTGGGAGAACACAGAGAGTGGATGCACCTGCAAAATTGCAAACGATTTTGATCCATGTCATTCAAGGTCTCTAACCATCGGTCGCTATCGTCTCACGGTCCACAACCAGGTAGTCTACACCTACCAACATGGTTCAGTTCACTTGTCAGTGACTTCATGGACTTGTGCCATGTTTTGGTCTGGCCGTCCCTAGCCTTCTTCCAACCTACTCCTAAACCATAAAACATAGCACGTCGAGGCAGTCGGTGGTCGGGCATGCGCAGCACATGTCCCAGCCATCTCAACTGATTAAGTTTCATTACTTCATCAATTGATTTGCCATCCTTACCTAGTACCCGTTTCATAACAACTGCATTACTTACTCGGTGGTACCAGGATATACGAGCGATGTTTCGAAGACATCTATGGTCAAATACTAGTAACCTACGAATATCCTCTACTCTTACTGGCCATGTTTCACTGCCATAAAGTAGGACGGAACGAACTGCTGCGCAGTAAACACGTCCTTTGGTTGATAGACGGATATCTCGCCTACGCCACAAATGACGCAAGTTGGCAAAAGCTAGTCGAGTCTTTTGCATCCGTGCTGAGATTTCGTCACACACCAAGCCACAAGGGCTGATGAGACTTCCAAGATAAGTGAAGCGGTCGACACGCTCAACTACTTCACTCCCTATCACTAGTTCGGGTGTCGACGCAACCCAATCCAGAAGCAACATTTTGCATTTCGAGGGAGAGAATCGCATGCCGAACATGCCTGAATTGTTGCTTAGAGTGGTCAGTAGACTCTGCATTCTGTCAGCGTCTTCACCAAATAGAACTATGTCATCGGCATATTCTAAGTCAACAAGTGGATCTCCCGGTAGAAGTCTGATCCATAAGGCAGTGGAGCATCGCAGGGGGAGATGCAGTCTTACGGTAGCCGGTGACCAACGATTGGTTCATACGCCATTTGTTCCCTCAGGATACTGGAGCCAGCCCATGTGCTCCAGTGGTTAAGAATGAGGGTTTTCCAACTCCTCTAGGTGGACTTACCGTGTCCACCAAACCGGTTAAAGCGCCGGACATTCGCTTTTCATCTTTACAATTTCGTGAACAACACCCCCACCACGAGAAGGCAGTAAGTAGGACTTTCCTGGCAGAGGCTATATACGCGTGGCCATGTGAGAGCATTTCGAGAGGGTGAGCGGACTCTCCCCAATCTCGGCCGTACCAGGGCATTTGGGGGCCAGACTATATCTAACTAATATATAAAGTTATAATGTAAGACTTATAAACTTATCTTAAAAAAGAAATTTATTTCTTTTTTATTAGTACAATTAAACGCTACATTTCACAATTATAATAAATGAAAATAATTCAATCATGGATGAGCACTACTAAGGAGTCCCATGTTGGGACGAATCAGTTGTCCAATGTTTTTAAGTGTTTAATGCTAATCTAACTTAGATCGACTCATGAATTCAACTATTAAAATTACTATAATCTCCACCAATTGCTATTCTGATAATCATCTTAAATAGTCATTCATTTCACTTATATTTAGTTGAGCAACTAAATATAAATCATCAAGACCAATTTCATTGAGACATTTAGTTTATTCATGCAACACTAAATGTTTATTTCAATAGTGAATCTTTGTATCAAATGTTGCTTTTACAACCTTTTGCATGAATGAATAATTACTCAAAAAATTTCAGAGACTATTCGAAGTTAAATAATAATATACTAAGTATGAGTGTCTATGTATGTCACTTTGAACCATTGTTTGCATGAGGTCCAGTGAGACTAACCGAATGAACATACTGTACTAAATAGAGAGGTCAGTTAGCCGACAACGTAGAACTTTGTACGTACGTACATCAGTTCGAGTGGCGATACCGTATCAGAACAGAGGTACAATTGTCGATTCAAATCCCCTAGTGGTAGAAGTAGTAAGAGTATAAGCAGTAATCGGTAACATTAGGGTTTGAAGATGTTATTCAAGGAGTATAATCTGGTGAAATAAATTTGGAAAGAATAAAAAGGGACATGAAGAATTCAAAAGATTAGAATTTGAGAGAACACAAAGAATGGATGCATTTGCGCCATTGCAAACGATTTTGATCCATGTCACACTCAAGGTCCTTAACCATCAGTTGCTATCGTCTCGCGCATCCCAACCAGGTAGTCTACATCTACCAACATGGCTCAGTCCACTTGTCAGTGACTTCATGGATTTGTGCCATGTTTTGGTCTCGCCGCCCCTACCTTTCTTTCAACCTAATCCTACACCATAAAACATCACTCGTTGGGGTAGTCGGTTATTGGGCATACGTAACACATGTCCCGGCCATTTCAACTGATGCAGTTTCACTACTTTATCGATTGATCTGCTATCCTTACCTAGTACTCGTTTCCTACCAACTGCATTACTTATTCGATGGTCGAGCGATGCTTCGACGGGTTCGAACTCGTCACTTATTGTATGAAACTTCAGTGATTTATTCATTAACCACTACTTTAAAATACACTGTTTGTCTTCCTTTAAAGTATAAGATTAAAATCGCTTCATATGTTTCCTTCTACCAACTAATTCTTTCTTCCTGTACTATATTCTTATATGCAATCTTTCTTTTATATATTATCACCACTGAATTAACTGCTTCTATGAACTCGGTGTTCATCTTGTTGTACTAATGTGGTATGGCAACTTGGACCGATGCATATATATGCCTAGTCCTACGTTGTAGCTGACTGACAGATTGACTATTATGTTAAATAGATAATGTAATATTAAAGACTAATATTTATATGAATTGTGTAAATATCATTCTTTATAGACAGGAAATCTTTTCATATACATGTTTCTTTATATAGAAACAAATTTCATGTCATATTCTACATTCGAAAAAGCAAACAAAACTCCAGCTTTCAATGACAAACACATTCATGATATTTTTGAGAGGGGGAGGATGCGTAAGAATTCGATTAAATTATTAACCGGTCTTATTTATATGATTATTGAATATCTGGAAGGATTGGACTGTCATTACTTCGTAGTACAGGATATTCTTTTTTCTAGTATAGATCGGTTTATGATTTCGAAGAAATACAATCATCTTCACAACTATATACTGAAAATGTATACGAAATTTCTAATCAAAATAACACTCATATATCAAAAATGTACAAGATATACATATACATATATATATACTCACTTTGAATGAACTAGCTGAAATGATTCTTATATCTGCTGGTACACGATCACCACACTTGACGTCAATTAAATCACCCACTACCAAAGCTTCCGCTGGTGCTTCAATTTTCACTCCACCACGAATAACTAAAGCAGTCTACAGGATAAAAAAACGTACCACTGGTAGTGATTATACTTTTAATCATTATCTTTAGTATAAATATATATCTTATTGAAAACCTTGTGTGTTAGTTACGTAACTAACATCAGATTTAGATAAACTTGTGTATTATAGTGATACCTCAGAGTATTAGTTGTTTGCTTTGAATAAGGTTAGTACAAAAGAATGTATTGTATCACTATGAATAAAATAAACTTCAGTTAACAACCATTTTATTTTAACCAGAGCCTAGTTTTATTCATCTAGCCTATTTATCTATTTTTATTTAACATTAATTACATTTATTCACATGAGTTTACATACATTTGAAGACATTGGAAAGGAAACATTTAAAAGAACAATTACATATGTACTTATAATCATTTCATGATTTATTCTGTGATTGACTTTAATAACACTTGATTAATTTCATTGTCAAATCTAATGAAAAATTTTAAGTCAGCCACAAATGTAAGTTAGCCCAAACTATTATTACCGTATTAATATGACGAGATGAGAATAACACGATGAATAGTAAACGACTACAAATCATGAAGTAGGGATGATAATGAGTAAAACAAAGCATTGAAAATAGTATTCGAGAAGACGGTATCAAAAAGCATGTATCAAAAAATTCTAAATCTTAATATATAGAGTAAGATAAAGATTAAACGCGTCTGTAACACTGTGACCAGTTTTAACTCGTCACCCAACTTCTTCAACCACAGCGTGTAACACAGAGAGAACTGTTGGATGGTTTAACCATTCTATGTTTAGGAACCCTCTTGTGTTCAAATAAATAAACCTGAAGAGAAGTGAATACTTGATCAATTTATCCATGTCCATGTGTGAAATCAGCCTGGTTTTCCCAGTTTTGTATTGCCAAGTATCAGGTGAGTATCGGATAAGTATAAAGGTCAATATTTTAGACGTCGTATAAGTCAAACTAATTCCTTTGTAGTTATCGGTAAATGACATGAACGATAGGCGATTGAGATGATTGAAATGGGATTATGTAGAGCTCCGCAACTCTGGCTAACATATCAGTCAACCTAATTGCTGAAAGACTGAAAAACTTCACTGAGATTAATGTTTCATAAAATATATGGAAGTGTCATAAAGAGATACTGACCGAAAAACTGAGAAGCGAAATAAATAAATTTAACCTATTGAAGCGTTACTAACAACTGTGTTAATCAGTGTCATTGACTTACCTGAGGAATCATTTTTTTGAACGATTCCATAATACGTGATGACTTCGATTCTTGGTAGTATGAAAAGCAACCGGTGACCACTACGACAACTGATAATACAATCCCAAGGTAAAGCTTGAAAAGACAAAAATACCATCTTAAAAAAGAGTAACAAATTACACAATACTAAGTAATATCTCTGTACTTACTTTCATATATCTAAAAATTGTAATGACAAAAGATATTTTAAATGCTCTGCGAATAAAACCCACATTATTATTATTTACTATTTTGAGTCAATAAAGTATATGTAGAATGCAGTGAACCTATGAAAACACAGTCACTTTTATACATTTTTAACTAGTTATCCTACTGTACATTGAATATACATAAGGAAAAATGCTTAATTGATCTATAGATTACGAATGGTTGTCAGGATGTCATAAAAAGAAGCAGTGAACAACAAAAACTGACAATAAGCTGAGGAAGACGCACTTTTAGAAATTTCATACACAGTTCTATGTGTACGAAATTAGCTGAGGCGCTGAGAACAAGATACTTAATCCACCAAACAAACATTCCACAAAGGTTATCTATCTTACTATACAGCGATCTAACAATGGGGTTAAGGTAGACCATTGTACAGAGATGTGCTTTGTTTTGAGCAACCTATACTATGTTTGAAAAGCAGAGGCACAGAAAACAAAATGAAGAAAGATTCCTGTTTAGAACTCAGTGATTGTGTATGACTGACAAATATAAAATTTCTTAAAACCCATTCACGAATCATAGGATATGACTTTCAATGTTGAAGCTAGCACATCAACAATTTTTTAAAATCGATATTACCTCGTAAATAACAAAACTAGTCCGCCCCAATTAAACTTTGATAAAATGATGAGAGTGATCTATTTAGACTGCTAACAAGTAAATGATTAAGTGGAATAAAGCAATAATAGCAAAAAAATACCATATTAAGCAGTGTGAAGGCTGTAGGGATACTGAGACACTCAGCAAACTAAGAACGGTGCTAAGGGTATTCAACTAAATGGCTATAACAGGCTTTTATTGTCTCTAAGCATAGTAGGGTTTCTTTATGACTCTTATGAAGAAGTAATAATCTTCTTAAAGTTGTACAATTGAGTTTTAATTATTTAGTTAATTTCAGAAAGTTTCCACTCCCACTAGGAACATCGTGCGTCATATTGCTTTAAATCTTTAAGTGTCTACTACGGCGACCCAAAGTTAAGAATAGTTAACAATCATTTAGATTACCACCTACTTTATTTTAAATCAAATGACTGGGAGGAAATTATACCGAAATAAAGTCATGTTTGTAGACTATAACCTATATTATTCATCCGGTATGTTTTGTTAGTAGTCAATCTTTTTATTTTATTTGAATACATAGATATTGGTACAAGGAGGCAAAAAATACATATGCACCACACAAATCTCACTTGATTTGTGTGAGGGCTGTGATACTGGCCGGGTGCCCAAACCGATGCAGGTGGTTTTCTTAGGGGGTCACAACTCGAGACTTAGACTTAAAGGTCTGATCCATAAGGCAGTGGAGCATCGCAGGATGAGATGCAGTCTTACGGTAGCCGGTGACCAACGATTGGTTCATACGCCATTTGTTCCCTCAGGATACTGGAGCCAGCCCATGTGCTCCATTGGTTAAGAATGAGGGTTTTCCAACTCCTCTAGGTGGACTTACCGTGTCCACCAAACCGGTTAAAGCGCCGGACATTTGCTTGTCATCTTTACAATTTCGTGAACAACACCCCCACCACGAGAAGACAATAAGTAGGACTTTCCTGGCAGAGGCTATATACGCGTGGCCATGTGAGAGCATTTCGAGAGGGAGAGCGGACTCTCCCCAATCTCGGCCATACCAGGGAATTAACAATATAAAATTAAGACCATTTATTTACCTCTAAATAATGTTCAACTGGAAGTAAACAAATTGTTAAAAAGAAATGAAACAAACTAGGTGGCCGAGGCGTTTGACTATTGACAGAAAGATCTGGGGTCCGATCCATACACCTTTACCTCAGATTAAGTAGCCGGATAGAATCACAAGCACTTACGCAAATGTGGCTTGCGACGGAGTGCATAGGCTTATACTTTGTAAATGGCTTAGCTAAGCAAAGTGATTGTAATGAGGCCCATGTGTGTCAAAACGAACTGAAAAGTCGATATGCTTTGGTGAGAAACAATTACTTGTTATTTAAAAAAGGTCAGTCATGTTATTCCACCTCAAATTAATGGACACCTAGCCGTTTAAACAATAAGAAGTAAAATGGAATCTGAGGTTGAAGTCTGAAGATTAAGAACATTTGAACCAATGAGTTACAGATAAACAGTATAAATAAAAGTCTTTCATATATGGATTATAATACTACAGGGTTCCGGGTACTGTCAACAAAACAAACGGCCTAAATGTTTTTAAATAACCATTTGATCACAGGCTTTTTTCAAATGACAAAGATAGACCATTTTGTCAATTGTCATCTCGCGTTGAAAAGAAAGTATGGTGTAACGGGTTGCTTGAATATCCTCCCTCACCAGTGTGAGCAGACAGACAGAGGAACAAATGACAAAAGCTTCGGTAAACTTCATTTAGAATTAACTATCATTCAGACATCCCTCATAAAGTACACAGTAGTAATCAATACCAGTAGTTCCACAGCTCCTCATTCACCGTACTTCAACTAGCAAACAATGTGCATGTTTTCCATTTGTCTATACATAAAAATATCTGGACATTTTAAATCCTGAGCATCAGATTATTTAGTGTGCATGTAACATAAGTTAGTTTACAGGATTCAATCACAATTCAAAACTAGTATAGAAAACAAGTACTGATGATAACAGTACTCAAAGTTCAAATGGTTCAAATGGTTGCGGACGGAATAGAAGCTTTCGCTTAACAGGCTTCCGTGTCTAGTAGCAGGGGATCACCAATGCCTCCAGGCAAGAACCTAGGTATATTAACGATAAAAGTTGTATTCTCTGATAAAATTATGGGCGAGACAATGTCAATTTCAAACGAACAAAACTAAGTACTGCTTAACTGTTATCAAGAGCAAACTGGACTTACATTATCTTTTGGTGGATCTTCATGAGTGCCACTTTCAATTGAGAAAGCAATGAAACAAAGAACAGCACCAATCCACAACAATAGTGAGAAGCCGCCGAATAATGTTTTACAGAATTTCACCCACTCTGGCGTTGTCTTTGGAGGTGTAAGTGCATTTGGTCCATCCCGTTCCAAACGAGTCCTTGTAATAATACAAGGTAATATATCTGACTTACTTGGCCTGTTCGGCAGTTAAGCCACTCTGTGGATCAGTGGATAGCCGGGAATACAACTCATCGAGAGATATCCGATGCTCATCCATGTCCAGCTCCTGTTTCAGTTCGTTTAAGTCATCCTTCTTTGGGTTTTTCTTCGACTTTTTTTCTGTAGCCATTCGGTAACTATCGCCTCGCTGTGAAAATCAGGGAACAATAAGTTTTATGAAATTGTGCACAAAACAAGAAAAGATATTGGAATTGTTTTGATTCATTTAATAATTCATTTATCACCGCAAAACTTACGGCATTTGGAACACCCATCTTTTATATTATGAGCCAAACGAAACCCAATATTTAACTGTACGCTGGAGTGAAGAAGTAAATGTGATTGAAACAAATGGTTCATCTAAACAAATCCGTTTCAGTAAAAACAATATATAAAGTTCTGTCACTTGCCATGTATGAATAATGTTTACCATGACAAATGATCAGTTTTTTCCATTCAATATCGTGATGTTATCTGAATTCTCTTGCACATTGTTGAATTTGCCCACTGCAGTTAGAACACTTTAAAATTCAGATTACAGACTTTGTGAGACAAAATTGACGAAAGGTTTGTTGAATAATATTTATGCTTGTGGAGAGAGATAGTATGATTCATGTCATATTCCTTACAAAACATAAGGGCGTTACAACTTTGTTATCCCAAACATGATGGTAGGACAACACGTGGAATAATCAACACAATTAACTTCGGAACTAAAAAGTCAGTGTCAAGGATCCCTTTCAAAAACTCTAAGAAAGCTTCAGTTACTATGGCTTTAAATAAATAATTCTACAGCTTGCTAATTCCAACAGTAAAGAGGTCCAAATAATTCTTTTAGTTAGTTTATTAATCTTTTATTAGAAGTAAATGTCTCCTTTGGGATAATTAATTACTTAAACATGTCAGTTGTCTATAATGGTGGGACGAGGGATTAATAACGAGAAGATACTCTTCGATGACGTTCAATTATCTCGATATAATACTACTTAATACTTGTTTTATAAAACCTCAAGAGCAAGTGGACCACACCTGCTGCGATATACTAGTGGGAACAGAATCCTAGGGTACCACACATAGTGATGCTTGGGTCTTTTAAATGATGGATGGTGTGAAACCAGGATCTTCCGAAAAATAAGAGGTGGATGGAGTGTCACTTCAGCTCATCGTATGTATTCTGAATTTCATAGTACCGAGTTAGATGTTTATGTTGATCTATTCATATACTCCATGTTAGTTTATGCAAAGTGATGAGGTGTTGAACCACTTATATTGTTTGGTCATGCCAACATTCCATTAACTGGCGTCAGTGTCACTATTTTTTGACAATGCTCGTCGTTGTACTGGGTGGGATTTGCAGTTAATAGTTGGAATCCAGAGTCAGACAGAATATCAAATCGAAGTATATAGACGTTCGTTCTTTTTATTGTTATTTAGAAAGTTGTAGTTGACATCGCACCAATGCTGTTGTATTAGTGAGTGGACGCTGTGTTGTTTTTGAACATACAGATCCTTATGCCATTGTTCGTTCACCAATTCTGGTTTGGCAATTGAAGATTTCTAGTTTTACTGTATTTTATTCCCCACAGTGACATGGACATTCCAAATGCTACAGTCTTTTCAATACTGAATATCTAATAGTCTTTGTACACATGTTTTGGTAGACCTCCATTTGAATTCGATGCTTCTTTGCGATTTGTTTGGAAATGCAAAAAAAGTGTTTCACCATACAGTGGTTTTAGAGGAAAGATCTATAGTATGTGCTAATGACTCGAAAGATAAACAAAATATATTCAATATGGAAAGCAACAAAGTAATGTTAGATTCAGGGAAAATAAACAATGCGTGAAGAAATCCTACACATATATAAGCGTAAAAATACGCAAATGATCCTCGTTAGTTCGGATAAAAACGATTTATTTTATTATGAAAATGTAAGCATTTAAATTGACTCGTCGTAGGGATTCGAACTCTCTAGACCAGACAACTAGCTTCTTTATCGAAAGCTCCAGAACATCATCTAGTTAAAGAGTGTTGTGTCCAAAGGCTAGATACACAAGCCGAGTGAGTCCAACATTTGATAACATCTTTTGTGTGTCTAAAAACCCCTCAGATATGTTACAATATCATAGCATGAAAACGTAGTATCTTGTATAATTGACAAATCAGTAAAATGTTGTTGTTTGTACATGCGCCTTACAGAATGCGCTCAAGCCGAAAATGAACTGAGTTTTAGGCTGAGTTGATAAACCACTTTCGGAAAGCTAGACATCCAAAGTGGATAAACGTCGTGGGTATGAACGTTGTTTTAACAAATGCACACTAGAATGCCAACTGGATTATTGACATAATGGACCAATAATGACCATACTCTGTTACAATCATACGATAAAGTCCCGCAAACCCATGATTCAGCCTGGTTCTCATAAAATGTTAATATAAATCCCAACCAACTGTCGAGTCATATTTTGCAAAATGTCAACGGTTATGTTATTAATACGACGCAACATCAGAGGACGAAAATATACGTATTTACCTGGAGATTTTCAAAGTTTTATTTATACATGCAAATAAAGTGTAATAAAGTGGAAACTGTATATCACGTAGTCTTGAAATTCCTCGACTTTTTCATTTGTAGGGTGTATTATACAGAGACTATCATCCTATCTTGAATATCGGGTACATTTTACCTGAAAAATAAAAAAAATTTTTGACGGATACTTATTAACTCATATTATTCCTATTTCGGACTTAAGTCTAAAATAGATCTAAAATTTATGATATACTCATAGTCTCCGATCCTTGTATTAACCAGGTTAATACTTAACAACTGCCAATACTCCGATATTATATTTAATTTAACAAGCTCTGTACCCAGTTTCAAATCATCGTCAATAACTCCAATAAAAGAGAAATTTCACCAACTTCTAAGCCAAATAAAAGGTCCAAATCTGTAACCCCTATGACTGACGACTCAATACCTGACAATGTCGAACCTTTGACAAATAAACAATATGCGTATTGTACACAAATGTCACTATCATCATCTGAATCTCCATGCTACTGCCCCTCTACCTCTGCGTGCAGCATGCCAACGGTAAGACTGGTTGACATACATGACACTATACCCACGTGCATCGAAACGTCAACACAGTCTACCAGACAGTACGTCCTACCAAGGCCTAAATCCAAAACTTCCAAAACTAAACAGTCCAATAGTTCGTCTCATGCACACGAAAATACTGATAAATATAGTACTGACATCCGTCAACTACAAAACTCTCTAGCCGAAATAAACGGCAGACATGAGCAACTAGCACCCCTCACGCACATATGGGGCCTTGACACTGATAGGAATCTTGAACAACTCACTAAAGCTGAGTGTATTTTGGAATTTGTGGCTGAAGAAATGACGAAAAGAGTTATGTCCTCCTTCAACGCAGTTGCGTATAACCTCCCCTACCGCATTCACCCATCTAAGTTGAGGGATATTTGCCTTAGAGCATGCGGTATGCTGAACGTTAACTGCAAAGTCATCCGCCTTAGAAAAAAGTCAGACAGATCTACTTGCCCCCTACTGTTTATGTTTGGCTGTTGTAACGATGCTAAACAGTTTATCGATTCGAGCAAAAATATTATCTCACTAATTCCATACAAAAGTATAGAAGTCACTTCAGACCTTACGCCCTGTCAACGTCGTGTAAGAAGACGTGAAGCGATAGGATTGCATGGTAGTATTACAGTGAATAACCAGCCAGAGTCAGTTAGCAAAACAATAAGCATGACATCACTCCACGAACGGTCGATCACTCTGTTGATCTAGATGAGTCTGCTGATCAGAATCCTTTAGATAAGATACGGACCCCAACTGTCACCAAAAAACATAACGGCATGTCTAATCCCAGCTGCCCGCTCAGTAATGTAATAAGATGTGAGTCGTGCGACAACACGCATCCAACTAAACCTATACATTTGAAAGTTAATCCTCCTAAAGATACTCCACAGGTTGACTCGAATGAACCTAAATTCATCTCACAGAGACAACTCCAGCTCTGACAAAAACGGGTGTGAAGACAAGAATCACAATACCGAGTAGGGGAACATATAAGGTTGAACCCAACTGCTCTATAGGTAACCCAACAACAGTTAACAGGTTCTCCCCTCTGATACCATATAACTTGCCTTCAACACCTCTAAGTTGCAAAATGGGTAGGGGGCTACAGCGTAACAAGGTTTTTTACACGCAGACTAACAAGAACTACCAGAGTTCTGATCACTGCAGGCACCCTCTAAAGCTTAAAACCATTAATAAAAATAGTAATAATAGGTTTCTCACTCCACATCTTATCTACATTCCCCAGGATCATAATTGTAATTACTCTCAGAAAGAAAACTTTTCACACCCTTTAGTACCAACCCACCACATAAAAACGGCTCCACGTACAAAATCAGTCGAAACTCCTTCCAGTTACGCTCAGCACACCTCTCTCACACTAACGTAAAAGCTATAACAGAGGCTACGCGTCTAACCATCAAGACTATTTTGCAAATAACCATACACTTCGCAGTAGGTTTGTACAAGATTTGTGTGGAATACGACCCCTAGTGACACCTCTGTTGAAGCATATAGCCCAAGTCATTTCAAACAACATATAAAACATAAACATGCTTCACCCATATAGCCTCCATCGGAGAGTAATCCCACCCTTAACTCCTGGGTAAATTCCCCAATCAATTTCACTAGCCCATTTGATACATCTCCTACCAAGTCTAGCTACCAAAATACCGAGCTATTGAAGAACTTTCAATCCCTCACTTCTAATTCATCTAACACCCGCGAGGGTTACAACGAATTTATTCGAGATAATCTCACTCATTTTAACCTAGTAGACCATTTGTTTAACATATGTCTCATCAACGCTAGGTCGATCTGCAATAAAAAGGCGGAGTTAGCCCTGTTTGTATCCATGTATCAACCATCACTTATAATGGTATCTGAAGCATGGACCAACAATAATATTTTTGACCCAAGTACATCTCTTGATAACTATTTCCTATGTAGAAGTGACAGATTGAAAGGATGAGGCGGAGGATGCCTTATTTACGCTCACTCTAGCCTAAACTCACTACTGTGTGATATGCCTGAACTAAGCAAACTAAAGGATTACGTGTGAATTGTATTAAAGCCGTCGAAATCCGTTACCTTACTGTTCGGCTGTGTTTCCCGTCAACTAAAAGCATCAATAGATGACATAGCAGTACTATCGGAGGTATCCAC